TCTCTTACATTTCCCAATTCCTATCACTTCTCTCTCTCTGTTTGAACCTTTCTGCCCTCAGGATTCCCCATCTCTACTTTCATTTCATTTATTCTACTGTCCCTCTCCCTAAAGGCATCTTCTTTCCATTTTTTCTATTTAATCTTTAAATATTTTATTTTTCTTTTTAAAATTATATGTATGCATGTGTGTCTGTGTGGGTATGTGCACATGAGTGAAGTGGTCATGGAGGCCATCACTAGTTTTCTGGCTTCTCTGTGTACTTCAGGATAAGCTCACAAAGCAAATTATTTGAAGCTAGGATCCCATATGAGAGAGAACATGCAACATTTGCTTTTTGAAGCCTGAGTAAACTCACTCAGTGTAATTTTGCTCCAGTACCTTCCACTTACCTGCAAATTTCATGATTTAATTTTTCTGTATAGCTGAGCATAATATTCCATTATATATGTGCACACATTTTAATTTTCATTCAATTGACGTCTAGACTGATTCCATTCCCCAGTTGCTATGAATAGAGCAACAATGAACTTGGAAAGTCCTTTGGTTTTATGCTTAGGATATGATATAATTGGGTCATATGGTAGTTCTATTTCTAGTTTTTTAAAACCTGTCATTTTATTGATTTTGTGTTTTCTTAGAATTCTTTTGATTAATTGTCCTGGCATTGTTTATTCCCTGTGACCTAGTGGTGTGTTTATCCCTCTCCAGAGTGAAATATTCCTTTGAGTATCTTCTCTAGAACTCATTTGATGATTATAAATTACTTTTAATCTGTTTTGAGTCTCAAAATGTTTTTATTCCTTGTTCAATTTAATATACAGCTTTACTGGGTATGATAGTCTGGGTTAACAGTTGTGGTCTTTTCAGAACTTGTAATAGATTTACCTAGGCTATTTAGGTTTCTTTTAAATAATCAGATATTATTCTGCCATTTTTTAGTTATTGACCTTTCTCTCTTGAGGCTTTCAATACCCTTTATTTTGTATTTAAGTTATAAGTAGAATGTGTCATGGAGAGCTTCCTTTCTGGTCCTGTCTATTTGGCGTTCTGCAGACCTCTTATATCTGAATAGGCATCTCTTTCTCTAAGTTTAGGGAATTTTTTCTATGACATTATTGAAAATATTCTCTGTGTCATAGTATTCTTATCCTTCTTCCATGTCCATAATTTGAAGGTGAGGTTTTTTTTTCATACCTCTTTCCCCTCTTTTTTTTTTTTTGAGACAGGGTCTCTCTATAGCTCCAATTGGCCTGGAACTCACTTTGTAGACCAGGGTGGCCTCGAACTCAGAGATCCTCCTGCCTCTGCCTCCTGAGTGCTGGGATCACCACACATAAAATTGAATGAGTTTTTAACCTTTAAAGATCTCCATTTCATTTTAAAATATGCTGTTTCCTACATTTTTAATGCTACTAACGCTTAGATGTTTGCACATGTGTCTTTAATGTCTATGTATCTGATTATTACTAGTCACAGTAGGTTATACTTGGACCCTTGGCATCTGAGTATGGATATAAAGTCATCAGGTAGATTTCAATGATAACGTTTATCACCTCGACTAATTAACATGAAGCAAACTTTTATGCTTCCTCCTCAAATCTAAGTCTTTCTTTTTTAATTTGTTGATTTTTGTGTGTGTATTTCATACAGAACATCCCAAACAATCTTATTCATCTATATATGCACTTCCCAAATGGCACCCTCCCAGAGCCTCCCCCCCCCACTGCAGCCCATACACTCTGTCATCCCTGTTACTGTCCACTGTGTTGTCAGTGGCCCCAGCCATTCCGCAGTCCTTGTCCATCTGCTGAATCTAGTCAGGCTATCTAGAAATCCTTGTTTTAGGAAGATCAGCTGTTCCTAATCTAGCAGCAATCAGTTGCCAATATTCCTTTAAACAAGATTGAGGTCTGCTGTTCATTTTCCCAGTTGTATGCTGGGTTACTGTCTGGGAGCCTCTTGGGCCACCCTGACCAGTAACTCAAAGGAAGGTATCTCCTGTTTGGCATTGTTTCTTGTTATGTAGCCTTTAGCTACACATACGGATTCTTAAAAATTATATTGACCCCATTAATCTTTGGTTATACTTTCATTTTGGGTGTTTAAGACCCTAAAATTGGCCCAGATAAACCAATTTATTTTTACTCAAGGTTATTTGAGGATCTTTTCCTCAAGGGTAACAAGGCCTTGGGAGGAGCCCCTGGCTCCATTCCTTTACCATTTCCGTCTATGTGAAGATAAGTCAAAGGTCCTTCTCGACCATGACTGGCTTCACTTGGAAGCATGGAGGAAATGTTTCCTCTGTGTACTGGTTCAGGTCCACCTGGTGGGGTCTCCATGGCCTCCTTGATCAAGAGAACAGGAGACTCACCACAGTTACAGGACATTTTGAGAGATGCTCATAGTCCCCTGGAACTTAGTCAACCTAGGCGGGAAAGGAGCAAAAACTGTCCTTTATGTCCCTCTGACCGAATTAGTATAGGCCTCATAGTATGGCTGTTAAACATCCAAGAAGGTTAGTTCCACCATTCTGGTACTTTTAATTACCATGTGTCATGTGGATAGAGCTTGGACAAAGACCAAATGCTCTCAGATAAACCTTGCCTAAACATATATTAAATTCTTTGATCTAGTTGTATGTATAATTTGTCAGTGGGTTGTTGGACTAATATGCTTCCCTCTGGTTTTTAAAAATTAGCTAGGCATTATTTATCTCTCACATTATCTAACCCTTCCACCATGGTTTCCCCATTTAAGGTGCCCCCATTTTTCCCATTTCTCCCTTAATAATACCCTTCTCCTATGATCCCACCTCTTTTGAGCTCCTTCTTTCCGTTTATCCCCTAAGTTCCTTGTATAGCTTTCCCTCCCCACTCCCATTAAAATAACCCCATTTTTATCCATATCTCCCTTATTAACACCTATATCACTTTTTAATTATTTTATATTTTATGAATTATTTTTATTTTATGTGTATGAGTGTATTGCCTGCATGTATATGAATGCACTTGTGTCATGCAATGCCGCGGATGTCAGAAGAGGGATTCAGATTCCACTGGAACTGGAGTTAAGGATGGTTCATAGCCACCATGTGCATGCTGGGAATCGAACCCAGGTCTTCTTCAAGAGAAGTCAGTGCTCTTAACCACTGAACCATCTCTCCAGCCCCTACCTATATCACTTAAAAAAATGGTTTTTATCCCGGCATGGTGGCACACACCCTTAATCCCAGCACTGGGAGGCAGAGGCTGGTGGATCTCTGTAAATTTGAGGCCAGTATGGTCTACACAGAGGGTTCCTGACCAACTGGGGCTACAGGGAGACACTGTCTCAAAAAGACCAAAAAATATTTTTTGACTGATTGAATTTCGTGTGTATGAGTGTTTTCCCTGCATGTATGTAAATACTTGTATGTCATGCAAGCCCCATGGATGACAAACGAGTGCATCAGATCCCACTGAAAATGGAGTTACAGATGGTTGTTAGTTGCCAGGTAAACCAAACTGGATCCACTGCAAAAAGAGTCAGTGCTCTTACACACTGAGCCATTTCTCCA